GCAAAGGTTGGGAGTGCCCAGGTCAACTGTCCTCCTCCAGTAATCCCTCATTAACTTTTCCCCCTATCCAAAAATGCATGGTGGATGGGCTGTTCCCTTTCATTTTCATGGAGGGAACTGGGGGGGGGGATCAAATATTTGTGGATTATATGTGGAATGCTCTCCCCAGGAAGGCTTGGCCGGAGTCTTCATAAAACACCTTTAGGCACCAGGTGAATATGTTCCTCTTTAACTAGGCCTTTAGTTGATTGACATCTAATGCTCTTGTGTTGTGGAAGGGGGGGATTATTAGGTTGTCTTTGTTTTCGTTTCCATTGTGTATTTTGTGTTTTTCATATTTTAATTTTATGCCGTGAGATCTATGGGTATAGGGTGGTATGCAAATTTAATAAATAATAATACATGTGCAGACCATTTCCCTCCATTGAAATGACTAGAGAAGGCACTTTGGGTGGCAGAGCCCTTCCATCTGGGTCTGACCATCATAAATTTGAAGTGAATTAAGAGCAAACCAGAAGTGTACAGGTGTGCCTAAATGCGATTGAAGTCTGTAGGGCTTTCGTGCACAGCCGTGGAGCTTAAATCCAATCGATCTGAATAGAATTTAGGGAAGGGCTGTGGCTCAGTGGTAGTGGAGAACATACCTTGCATACTAAAGGCCCCAGGTTGTCTCTGGGGTCTCCAGGTAGATCTGGGAGAGATCCCTGCCCAAAACCCTGAAGAGCCACTGATAGTGTAGGTGTGGAGAACCTTTGCCCCTCCAGATGTTGCTGAACATCAGCCCCAGCAAACATAGCCGATGGCCAAGGATTTTAGGAGCTGTAGTTCAGCAACACCTGGAGAGCCAAGGTTTCCCCATACTTGTCAATTCTCAGGACTAGTCTTGAGCTAGCTGGACCAGCGATCTGATTTGGTACAGGGCAGCTTCCTTTGTCCCTAAACTTGTTTGGCTTTTACCCAGCCCTTCTGAAGTAATTTCACCACTCAAATCCTTCTTTGTAAGAATCTTGAACATTTGCAAAACACTTGACACAGGGACAAAGTAGAACTTCAGCAGGACCTTAATACGTGGAAATCAATTTTCATCAAGAATAGGCTGTTCTAATTATAATCGTATAATTCATATTTCAATTTGCTCAGGCTATTAAAAGCATTCCTTGGAGAGAAGAAAGCAATGAATTGGCCTTAAATGAACCAGCCTTATCATTTGGAAGCAGTAGTGAAGCTAGGTAATTAGAAACCCTGGACTTAATGGTCTTAGGGTGGTGGTGGGCACCTTTAGAAATCCATGTGTATTACTTTAATTGTGAAACACATTTTTCTTTTCCCCACTCGCCCACATCATCCCATTTTACAACTGCTCCTAGATTTCTGAGTACAGATTGGAAACCTTTCACCTGTGGTCCAGATTTGGCCTACCAGGTCTCCTCATCAGGCAGGTTCAGATACGCGAGTGAGTCCCTCTTGGGAGACTCAAGTGTGCAGCTGATTCCTGCAGAAAGCAGGCTTGAACTCACCACCTATCAGATGATAGGCAGGGAGTTCAAGCCTGCTGATTAGCGGCACTGGCAATTCTTGTGTGGTGCTTTGAAGGCACTATCTTGCCCTGCTTCCATGGACCATCTTTGACTGGCAGTCACCTGATGCCAGAGGACTGACAGGTGAATGATTCAGCACACCTGTTGTAGTTGAGGGTGGGGTGGGGAGAAAGATCTGGCCCACTGGGCCAAAAGGCTTCTCTACCCAGTGTTTGAGCAAGAAACAAACCCAACCCTGATTAAAAAGGGGAAAGCTCTGAGCATGTGCAGTTTTGCATTTTAAGCTTATTTAAATCATAGAAACATCATGACAACTTACAAGAATAAGGTGGGGTTTGCTTCTGCTGCTCTGCTGCTAAATGCATTTATTTGGGGATAAGCAATATTTCATTGTAGAAACGAAAAATGTGTTCTAAAAGTAAAAATAATGAAATGGGCATTTGTAACTATGTACATACACAGCTGTCTTCCCCATGGGTGGTTATTTGGTGGTTGTCATGAGGTTTTCTGGGTTCTGGAGGCCCAGACAATGGTCTCTAGGTCCAGCCCTAGCTGTACTTCTGTGTGGAAGAAGCAATTGCTTTAGATGTCTTTTTAAAAAAATGAATTAGTCTAAATTCCCATCTGAAATTTAAGTTTTGCCACTGCTGTTATCGGCAAGTATAAGCAGTGCATAATTTTAGATTACAGATGCAAGGCTAAAGTCTGTCAGAAAATCAGGTCATCTGGCCCAAAAAAACACCTCTCTCCCTATGCAGGGCTGGGTGTGGCTCCACAGTGATGTGAAAAGGGCACTTTACACATCCTCAGAAGAATATAATCACATCCCAGGCCCTGGTATAAAAAATGCAAAACAAACAAACAGGCTACAGTTCCAATCTGTGTGGTGAACTTGAGCTGCAGTTCAAGTTAAGCCCTGGTTTTATATTTCGGGAATATGGTTCACAAAGCATTCAAATCTGTATACGGAGCACAAAAAAACAGGACAGGGATGGGGAAGATATTGGTGGACATCCACCATCCCTGGTACATAGGAAGAGAGGAAGCTGCTTTGTACTGAGTCAGACCATCCATTGGACCATCTAGCCCAATAGTTTATGCCGACCTGCAGTGCCTCTCCAGGGTTTTGGATAGGAGATGTTTCCGTTCCAACCCGGATATGCTGGGCAATGAATCTGGGACCTTCTGCTTGAAAAGTGGATGCTGTACCTATGAGCTATGAGCCAAAGTCATGGGCTATGCTGGTTGGGGTCAATGGGAGAGTTCAATGAAAACTGGAGGGCCACAAGTTTCCAATCCTTGATACAGAACCTATCTACTTAAAAAGGATTCGTATAAGATGAATGCCCATCCTCATCTAACTGCCTAAGGAAGTTGATGGGTTCTTCTTTCTTCACAGGCCACAACATGCGTCATTATTGTAGCTGTGACTCTGATATAGCCAAGGCTGGGTATTTGTAAGTCTTACTCATCATTCTCCTTGAGAATTAAAAGCGGTGCCCCCTAATTGTTCAAACGAAAGTGAAATAATTCGTCAGCCAACATAACTTAAGTAGGCAGTTATTCAATAGTCTCTCAGAAACTTTGAAGGAAAAGTGTAACTATGAAGGCCAAACAGGAAAACTGTCAAAAAGAATGCATTATTCATCTACTGGGACTGTGCTAATACTCTTTCCAGTCTGTTAGTTTCTGATGGATTCCAAGTAAGTCTCTGAGCAAAGCGGTTGGGGGGGGGGAGAGAATGACTTGTTTGAGTTAATGGCTTGAAATGATTTAACGGCGGATTATATGCATTTGGGTTCAATCCTCTACTCTTCGCAGGCTCCATGCATTTCAGTGGAATTTGCACAGAGCTGAAGCACAAGCTCTTTGACTTTGAGACCTGGCATTTTTATCTTGCAGTTCAACTTTCATATTCTGATCAGATTTATAAAGAAAGCTGTTTAGCCAGCAACGTGGCTGACATCCAAAACAAACTCCACTGAAGTTCATTCCTAGATAAGGAAGTGCTACAGCTATCTTTTTCACCAAGTATCTTTCCATTCATAAGTGAAAAAAAGAAGAAAAAAAGATTAACTGTGAGCCGTTGCCCGAAGAATGGGAGTTACCGTGTGATGGAAAGATTGTACCTTTGACTGAGTAAATAGTAAAATGAGGAAAGTCTATTAAATTTCTATCTACAAACCCAACCAGCCTTTCTGCTTTCTCATGCACTGACTCAGTTCCCACCCACAGACCTTAGAATACCTCTTTTGTTTAAAGGTATCAAATTGTAAAATAGATTTGGTTTTGTTTGTTTGACTCATGGTGATGTACTGGAATTTTGCACAAACCAAACATTAAGACAGCTGGTAAATATTTACTGATTAGTGTCAAAGTTAGCATTCGTGTGCTTCGTTTTGGAAATATATTGTTATGAGTTGGGCGAGGAGAGGAAGTAGGCTGCATGTGAGATCCCTCATACCCCTGGATCCGGCGAGTGTTAACATGAGGCAGACCAGCTCCCTCATGAGATGATCGCCTGGGTGATCCAGCGATTGGTATTCAGAATGTGTGTGGCATTGTGGTATTGTGTGTGGCATTTTATTGTGCTGGTTTAGTATTTGTTTCCAGCCCCCTCTGGTTGCCTCTTAAGTTTGCAGTGGTTTTATCTTTAGTATACTTGTTTTTATTCTCTTTTTATTTGTAATGTACCAAGAGGAATTATTTCACATGGCAGCTCGTAAAAGTAGTACAATAAATAATGCCTGAGCATGTGACAAGAGCCAGCCTTTCTGCGTTTGGGAGGCCCTCCTCTTCCCTGTGCTCAGTGGAACCCTTGATTTTGCCACAAATGTCCTGCCCTGATGGTGTACCACTGACCTTTATCAACAACAAGAGAGGACCTCGGAGTTTTGTAAATCCACGTTGAGTCTTTCAATTATGCCTGGTTCCCTTCCATTACAGGGTGCGCCAATCCGTTACAGAGTCCCTTCAAACGCATTCATTTGCAACGTAAAAGGGAGCTTGACCCTAAGGACTTGCATTATTAAAAAGCAGTGACATTTCTGATAGGAATAAACCACAGCAGAAAAAAAATGTGATTCGACACAGAGGCCAGAAACTGTTGTTCCTTTGACTGTGGGAGATAATGTCAGGAGTTATTTTTAGCCCAGCCAAAGTTCGTTTTGCATAGGGCTCCTTCTGACACAAGTAAAATATATTGTGTAATAGCAAAAGTATTGGGCAGGGGAGCAACGTCGAAACAAAACGCTCATATTTTCCCATCTCAAAGAAAGGCTGACCCAGAGGAACAGGGCTATCAAAAAGAACGAAAGTGGACCAGGCAGGCAACAAACGTTGGGAGGGCACACAGTTCAAGATGGTGGCAAGCTTCCTTTTCTGGAGAATAAAATCCACATCCCAGATTGGGCAAGCATAGTGTTAAATGTGATTTGTCCCTGGGTTCTGTTTCTTTTGTGTGGAGGGCTATAGCTTAGAGGTAGCGTATCTGCCTTGCATGCAGAAGGTCCCAAGTTGAATCTCTGGCATCTCCAGGTAGATCTGGAAAAGACTCCTGCCTGAAGAGGAGAGATGCCACTAATGATATAGACCAGGCATGGCCAAACTTTGCCCTCCAGATGTTTTGGGACTACAATTCCCATCATCCCTGAGCACTGGTCCTGTTAGCTAGGGATGATGGGAGCTGTAGTCCCCAAAACATCTGAAGGTCCAAGTTTGGCCACGCCTGGTGTAGACAATACTGAGGTGGACCAATGGGCTGACTCAGAGCAAGGTAGCTTGCAATGTTCTTTCTAGGTTCTTTCTAGATTCTGTAAGTGCCTCTTTGCACTCACTCCTAATTTCAGAGAATCTCCTTTCCTTGGGCAGTAAAAGGTAAAGGGACCCCTGACCATTAGGTCCAGTTGCGGACGACTCTGGGGTTGCGGCGCTCATCTCGCTTTATTGGCCGAGGGAGCCGGCGTACAGCTTCTGGGTCATGTGGCCAGCATGACTAAGCCGCTTCTGGCAAACCAGAGCAGCGCACGGAAACACCGTTTACCTTTCCGTCAGAGAGGTACCTATTTATCTACTTGCACTTTGACATGCTTTCGAACTGCTAGGTTGGCAGGAGCAGGGACCGAGCAACAGGAGCTCACCCTGTTGTGGGGATTCGAATTGCCGACCTTCTGATCAGCAAGCCCTAGGCTGTGGTTTAACCCACAGTGCCACCCACTCTTTGCACTCACTCCTTATTTCGGAGAATCTCCTTTTCTTGGGCAGTACCTACTACCTACTTTGGTGGCAATCATCCCCCCACTTACCTTGGGGTAAACCCCACTGAATTCAAAATGATTTATTTTTTAGTAGACATGGTTAAGGGACGTGGGTGGCACTGTAGGTTAAACCACAGAGCCTAGGGCTTGCTGATCAGAAGGTTGGCGGTTCAAATCCCCGCGACGGGGTGAGCTCCCGTTGCTTGGTCCCAGCTCCTGCCAACCTAGCAGTTCGAAAGCACATCAAAAGTGCAAGTAGATAAATAGGTACCGCTCCGGCGGGAAGGTAAACGGCGTTTCCGTGCGCTGCTCTGGTTCACCAGAAGCAGCTTAGTCATGCTGGCCACATGACCCAGAAGCTGTACGCCGGCTCCCTCGGCCAATAAAGTGAGATGAGCGCCGCAATCCCAGAGTCGTCCACGACTGGACCTAACAGTCAGGGGTCCCTAGGCATGGTATGGGTTGCAGCCGTAGACTGCTCTTATATACTAGAGGCCTTTTCAGCCCATTTGGTGGATCGATGTGTTTTTGTGGGGCAGTTCCTCCTCTCCATACACCCCAGTTGTGGTAACTCGGTGTCTGTAAAAACCAAAAGAACAACTTTGTGGAGGAGACCTGCATTTCAATTATATGGCAATGTGACTATTTTCAGAAAGAGAGGCATAAAACCGTTCTGTATTCATACACCTGCAGAAAAGATCATTTGCATATGAATGCTTTATGCTGTCTGCAAACACACATTTCTCTAAGGAGGAAAAGGGCAAATGAAATGCCCCTTGTGGAAAAGCGGAACATTTGTCAGAGCTTACTAATGAGATACTTACCAAATGGTGAGAATGTGCATAGAAATACGACTTAGGAATGAGTCCTATCCTTGCAAGACTTGACATTTACAGGAAGATCTATCGGTGCTTGAAATGAACTAGTTCCATTGAATTGCACCTGAAAAAAGTTACCATAATTGTTGGGTGAACTAAAGGTGAATTAAGTCCATTCAATAATTTCTAGTTCAGCTTCATGTTCATTCCCTTTATCTTCCCACATCACACTCTTAGCTTTCCATTCTTGAAAATAAATAAATAAGACATGCTTGAATTAAATTAGATAGCCAGATGTTCTAAGGCTTATTAGGCAGATACAGAGTCATTGCTGTTGCTAAGGTCATTTAGTCACTGTGGGTAAGCAGTCAGAAGGAAGGAATGTGAGGTGATTCCTGCATCTTCCCTGCTGAAGAGAGTCTCCCATTTTCAACGGGAACAGGCACAGGAAGAAAGTGAATTATACCTTGTGCCTTTAACAGCTGTGTGGCAGGCAAAAATTAAACACAGGTTTTCCTTGTATGGAAATACAATTATCAAGAAAGCTTTAAGTGATAACAGTCAGACAAACAGCTTGCTACCTGTGTGTGGCCTCTGGTTTACTTTTGGACCCTATTCTTCAGCACAGCAACTTGTAACATTATGAAAAAAATTGCAGAGGATGAACTTTTTCTGAACTAAAAAGTTCGTTTTGATGAACTTGGACTGAACTAGTTCATTTTATAAAATGAACTTTTTGGACAGGAAGAACTATAACTTTGAAAGAACTGGAACCTACTTTGTTTTTTCCTAGCACTCTTGAGTTCCACCAGTTAGAGACAAGCACAAAACAGTGGCTATGCTAAATTCTGCTATTCTCTTCATACTAGTGCCCTTCATGCCACATTTTAACAAGGTAGATAGAAAATAAACTTGTGCTTTGTTCCCCTGAGCAGAAAAAGTTACTATAGAAAGGGCATTGATGAACTTTAATTGTCCCTCTCAAAGGTTTCCATTAACGGCTAAAAGAAACTATAAAGGTAAGACTGAAAAGTTTTATTACCTGTGGGGAAAGAGATGAAAAATAGGCCACTTAATTGTCACTGCATGTTCTTTTTCCAAGGAGACTTCTGAATACATCTCAGTTTTCAGTTTTCAAACTTATTTTTTTTAAAGTTTCTCCAACATTTCCCTCGCTCTGAACAGATGATACCACTTAGTCAACGTGATTTGACTTTCTCATAACATCATAAAGCCAAATCACTATACATTGACAGCAATTTTGTACCACTTTGAAGCAGGCATAGGCAAACTTGGCCCTCCAGATATTTTGGGACTACAACTCCCATCATCCCTGACCACTGGTCCTGTTAGCTAGGGGTGATGGGAGTTGTGGTCACAAAATATCTAGAGGGTTGAGTTTGCCTATGCCTGACTTTAAACAGTTGTGGCTTCACCCAAAGATTTCTGGGAGCTGTAGTTTTTGAAGGGTGCTGAGAGTTGTTAGAAGACATTTATTTCCCTCACAGAGCTACAATTCCCAGTGTTCCCTGGGAAGAGAGATGGATTGGAAAGACCACTCTGGTAACTGTCATTGCCTGAGGGAAATAGGTACCACTCCAGCAGAAAGGTAAACGGTGTTTCCGTGCGCTGCTCTGGTTCGCCAGAAGCGGCTTAGTCATGCTGGCCACATGACCCGGAAGCTGTACGCCGGCTCCCTCGGCCAATAAAGCGAGATGAGCACCGCAACCCCAAAGTCGTCCGCGACTGGACCTAATGGTCAGGGGTCCCTTTACCTTTATTTTAATAACTCTCGGCACCTGCAACAAACTGCAAACTATTCCAACAGGCATTTTAACTGAATTCTGATTTCATAAACTTATTTTTATTGAATTATTGTACATGTGAGGGTTTAAAACCCTGAGTAAACATGCAACCAGGAAGCCCTAGGGAGGAGGAAGATCTGTCTGCCTGCATCTCCTCCCCATCTCCTTGTTGCTGCAGCCATAGCTGTCAACTTTCAGATTTGAAAATAAGGGATCAGCAGCCTCACCTGTCCCAGGGACAGTCTATGGGATATCTAACAATCTGGGACAGCAGCAGGAAGCAGCGGGAAACGGTGCTGGAATAAGGGAATTTCCCGCCAAAAAAGGGAAGGTTGACAGCTATGGTCAACTCACCCACCCCCCAGCCCTGGCTCACTCTGTTCCAGCCTGGAACAATCTGAGGCTGGCTCAACTCATTTCAGCCAAATCCAGGGTTGACCCAAATCAGCCTGGTTTGGTTTGGCATCCAGGATTTGGCTGGAGGTGGTATACGGATCTAATATATCTCTATTCAACTCCCTGGCCCTAGTACTCATCTGGATAAATGCTCTTTGTAAAAAAATAAAATAAAAATATTCATTTCCTAAATCAGCTATCCAATCCCCTGATATTAACAGGATTTAGCTAATTAGCTACTAAGTGCAGTTATCCTTCAGCAATGTAAAGGTTTTACTATTTTTGTCTGACTCTGAGTGGTAGATATTCCCGCCCCTCCCCCCCAGGGATTAAGGTCGTAGGGCACATATTTGTTCACTAGAATTCCTACATCATTTTTTCCATTACCTCGTTCAAGAGGAGGAGCCGTAGCTTTACTGTTTTGTGCTGGGTAGATCTGAGTGAGAACAAATAAGCCACATCGCCTCTGGTTTGAAATACAGATGTTTAAAAGCAGCTTGGACAGTGAGTCAACACACTCCCACCCTTGATATAACACATGCAGGGGGGAAAACTAAAAACACACACTATTTTCACAAGCTTTAATTCTGGTGTCTTTCGTAAATTTCAAATTCAGAGAAGAAATCAAATGTAGCGCCCCTTTACACAAACACCATCAAAGCTGGCATTTGCCAGTGCTTTATAAAAATGCCATAAATGCAAAAGCATTCTTTTTCCAGTTCTTGCTGAACTGAGGAGTTTAGAATAAGAGGGGACATTGAGTTTTGAATAGAAGGGAATGACACAAAGAGCATCTATGGAAAAATCTCAGACTGACCCGCAACATACATTTTAAAGTGCTTTCAACACACATTTAAAGAACATAACTCCCTCCCCCTCAAAAAAGGAACTGTAGTTTCCCCCTCACAGATTTACCATTCCCAGTACTCTTAACAAACTCCAGTTCCCCTGATTCTTTGAGGAAAGGCCTGCAAAGTAATGAGTGTTGGATGTACTTTAAATGTCTAGTGTGGATCTGCCCGGAGAGTAAAATTCAGAAAATGCCCCCAGCTTAATTCATGAATCCTGCTAAGCTACAGGTCTTCCTTCAGGGCAGGCTACCAGCAATGCGCATAACACTATTTTTTCTCTCCATAGTTATGGGGAAACATGGATTTGGTGATCTTTCACTGGGAGGAATTTGAAACACTCCATCAGACAGGAGCAAACAGAAACAGACACGATTGTGGTGGTCTTTATTGGGGCTCTTGCTGCCATTGTT